TTGCCAATTGATTTTCACCCAACAGTGATTTTCTTAACAATCTAAAGCAGCCAGAGGCCATCAGGGTATGCTCAGGACTTTCAGCAAACTTTTGTATCCCTCTTTAGCACCAAGGGTTCACAGTGCCTTCTGACTTCTGACATGGTAATGGCCAAAGGAATTGAGAAAAGGTTTAACCACATACAAACATATAAAGAAAGTAATTTGAGTTTTTCACTGTTAGTTCATCAAATTTTCCCTGTTTTGCATTCAGCCATTTCAAGGAAACTGACACAGTTATTTGGCACTACCTGTCCCAGTGACCTACTCTAAATGCTGGATTATCTTCAGCTCAAAGAGAGACTGAATGCTCTTAAGAGACTTAACCTTCCAGACAAATCAGACAATTATCCTCATCCTCACTTAGTGCAAGCAAAGTCCCCAGCTCCTTCAGCCCAGTTCAATACCTACATATTTTACATTCACTGTGATCCTCTTTCTACAGGCTGGCCAGTTTCAGGAAACCTTTCCAAAGTTCCAGCTCATTTTCTGTGACACTATTTCCAGTAACTTTCTCCTTTCCAAAAGAGCTTTGCTCTCCCCAAGTTTTTCCAGTTAGGAGAAACATCAGTGCCAGGGAGCTGTCAGGTAACACCCAAAGAATCCACATTTCCTAGTGCAAGGAAAGCAAAGAGGCATCTAGAGGAATGAAATGATAACATGCAACACCCACACACATCAATTGCTCTGTTCTCTAAGAGCACCAAGTTTCCAGTACTCAAAATACCTTACTCAGAGCTAGCTCACACATCAGTCCTCACCAGGCAGGGGTTATGAGGCTGAACTACCTTAAAAAGGTAAGTCACACCATTTTACCATTTTCATAATATCTGATCTGCTGGTAAGGAGCAACAGACCTTTGAATTACTGATGCTGTGGCTGTGCTGTGCTCTGCTGTGTGCCACAAATCTTGCCACAGACCAAAAAAGCATGAAAAATTGCTAGGGAGAGAATAAAAATCAAGCAAGAGAACATCACTGTGTCACAGCATAAATACACCTACACCTCAAACACTGTGTGCAGAATATGGTAAGACTGCCACAGGTGAGGTAGGATATGAGGGATGGCCAAAGATAGTGAGGGGCATCTTGCTGTGAAACCCTTAAAGTAAATTCATCACTTTACTCTGAAAGAGAAAATGGAATATAAAATAAATTTCTAAGAACATTTTTCATTGTCTCTGCAAAAATTTAGGGGCATCAAGTGAAACAAGGAGGTGACATCTAAAACCAAATGAATTATTTAAACTATGGAGATCACCATCTTAGGACATTCTGGATCTTGAAAATCATGTTTGTTCAAAAGCAACTGGACTGAATCACAAGAGAAAAAGAACAAACAAGAAATGTTTCAAATGACAAAACTTCTGGCTCACAAAGTCCCTGAACCTCTAGTGACTGGGACAGGATTCTGGAGTATTGACACTTCCCTGGGCACTGTCTGAGGACAATAATCAAGTGAGTGGGCACCAGACTGGCTGACCAGGTACAGCCATTTTCACTGTCATTGAGACATGGGATGTCTCAACATATTTCTGCAAATCAGCAGAAGGCTTTTTTTCCTGAGCACTGGGTTTACGCTCACAAACTTTACAGTTTTGACAAATCAACATTCACCAGGGAAAATTCTCCTCAAAAGAAATAATCTAACCCATACACAGAAACTTTAATGTTTAGGCTGTACATTCTAGCCCTCTTGAGCTATGCCTGTACCAGTAAGTAAAATATTTTTTATTTTATGTTTCTTTCAGATGGACATGATTATATGATCATTTGAAAACTCTCAGAAACTGATTATTTAGAGCAATATAGAATTTTGCCACTCTGTGGCGCCAGATAATTAAAAAGAGGTTGAACTTTTAAAGGGAAGCCATGGATCTTCTCATAAACTATAGTTTTCCTAAGTTAAAAAAGCCTTTATTAGTAAGTGAAGTAACTCCAGATTCTTCCATCCAAAGGCACAAAGCACAAATCCTAGAGGTTATTTAGATAAAATGCCACTTTTCTGTCACTGAAAGACAAGTCATAGCCTTGAAAAAGAAACACTTTAAGTCATCTCATAATAATAATAATTGAACAGGAATGATCTTTCTCCCTTCCTTTCCTCCACTTAAATGATACCTTAAAAGTTTTCTGTCAAGAAAGATACTTTTAAATTAATTTGGCTGTCACCTGAAAATGATAAATTTATTTATATCACAGTTTTGTAATTGCAACTAGTGTAAAAAATGGGAACCTTCTTCTCTGTTGCAAATATATATGTTACCTTTTCAAAGAATCTACACAAAAACGAACCTACAGAAGACGCTGTATGATCTAAGATTTTAGAATCACAAGATGTTCCCTGGCATACATGTCCAACTGTAGACACACCACTGAAATACCTAAACTTAAATGGTTTCAATATTTATCTGTGTGAGAAAAGACCAGAAAAAGCTCCTTTTGTCATGAAGGGGTAAGGTCCTGGTCCAGCACATCAGAATGACGTTCTTCATACGCAGAAAAGTCTCATAAATGCAAAATTTTACATTCTAGTTGCAGATATGATGACAACTTGATCATCTCTGGAATGAAGCTGGTGGCAATTTTTGGATTAGCTTTCACACCCTAGAGTAGAAGTTTTGCAATACAATGTTCATAATACTTTTTAACAGATGAGGTTATTGTTTAACAAGATGACCAGAAACTTAGAACTTACTTTCTTGCATTTAGTCAATTACAGACACTTAAAATTTGCAACATCTTCAGCCCATGTGGAGGCTAATATTTAAAAGTCACATTGCAGAGAGAAATATTTTTTAATGTTCTGACTTTGTTTCACTTCTGCAGAGAGCCAGCTAACAAATGATCACTCCAAAGTGCAAATACCTTGCAGTTTCTTTCTACAATGTACTGTGTATCAGTTTTTGCCTTTCTCCACATATTTTCAGGAATGTGTGCATACTTATTACTGCTTGTATGTACCTTCCATCAGCAACAACAGTAAGGAGGAAGAACTCTCTTCCTGAATCTGTGCTTACATGTACAATAGTTTTCTGTGTCTTTGCCCAGATTTATGCCTTTCCCCCTTGCTTTCTATTTACAAAATAAAATTGTAGTTTGTATTTTTGTATTTTGTTCTATGCACCCCAGTTGTTCTACCTTGTAATTCTATTCCCTTCAGTAATGGAACACAGATTTTAGCCACCTCTGCATCACAGCTAAGGGCAGTTGAGAGAAAATCCTGAAGATCCCTATTCCTTCTTCTGTATCAATATTGAGAGCTCCATCACTGCAGGGCATTTTTATTACTGAGAGGGCAATGAAAATGTCAATCCACCAGGCAAACTGCAAGAAACCCTCGTGGAGCGAGCAGGCTTTGCTCTCCCTCTTGCGGTCCGAGCACGTCATTCCCGCAGCCTCCCCCAGCTCTGTCACTCTGGATCCAAGGGCTTGGGACTATCCCGAGAGAGCGAGCGTGTCCCTATTCGAGGAAACGATACGGACAAAGTTTTCATTGAACGCCAGGGCTGAATAATTTTGTATAGCTCTCATTAGGAACCTGATGATGATTTTGATTCTTTTGGCTAAATCTTGTAATCCAAAGAAAGGGTTTTTTTCACCTCATGTGTTTTTAATGCAGCCAACACTCTATGCAGGAGGTCTCGGGTGGAACACAATGCACTCCTTGCTAAAAACCAAGTGTGTTTTTCACACTCTTTTCAGCGACCAGTGTTTAAAAAATACACGAAGCACTTAGGAAAGTACCAGCAAATGAAACTGCTTCAGTGAAGTTGTTTGGATACTCTAAGGTCACTGCAAGCGGGTGGAAAATTGGAGCCTGTACTGAACTAAATAGGAAAAAATGAAATTGTGTGTATAACCAGATGGGGAATATTTGAGCTTCTAAGACCTGGGTTTTATTTTTTTTTTCCAAAAGAAAAAACTGCACTTTAAATGACTCACAGATGTGAACAAGCAGTTTACTCTGCACACCTACATTATAAATAACCCCCAGAGGAATGGTGCAGTGTGGTTTGTTTATGCACCAGAAGAGTCTGTGAAATATTTTGCCTCCATAAATCATAATCCAAACAAAATAGAATCCTTAAATCTGAGTCCAAATGAACGTGTATAAGGAAGATTCCTCTACGTGCCAGGCAACACACTAATTACTTCTTCCAGATACTTTGTAATACTTCAGTTAGTCCTCTGGAAGAGACAGAGACGGCTGGTTGCCCGAGATGTACCCTCAGCCCTTTTCAGCCGGAGGGGACCAAGAGCCTGCTGCCTGCACGACTCAGCAGCACATGCACCTGCTGCTTTATCCCGGCTGGAACTCAAATGCAAAGCGGGTTGTTACCTATCGGATAGGGCAGCTCAGCGACACCCATTTAGACCGTAATATCCCCAGCATTGCCCCGGGGACCGCACGGTTCCAACCCTCCGGTATGTACTTGACAAATGACCTTTCACAAGACGTGTAATTTCAATTACAGTGAGCTCCAATGCTGGAGCCGAGGAACTGCAGAGCAAGCGGAATGCTTCTTCCTAACATCGTCTCCGAAACTAAGAGGAAAAATTCCTAATTCACAAAGGAACTTTAAAAACAGCGATGGGAAATGGGCAGGCCGTCTCTTCCTGGGACCCCTCCGCCAGCCTTGCCCTCGAAGCCCTCCAGCCTCCAGCCGGGTTCCATCGTCCGCTCCCGGGGACGCCGTCGGGGCCGGAGCACGCGGGGACGGGCCCCGGCCCCGAGAGCGCATCCCGCCGGCAGCGCCAGCCCGGGACGGGCCCCGGCCCCGAGAGCGCATCCCGCCGGCAGCGCCAGCCCGGGACGGGCCCCGGCTCCGGGCCGCTCCTCCCGCCAGCTGCCGGGGCCGCAGGGCCGCGCAAGCCCCGCCCGGGCCCCCGCCGGGGGCGGCCCCGCTGCTCAGTGGCCGCCCGGGCCGTCGCTCAGGCGGCCGCACCGCTCGCCCGGGGATGGTGGGGCGGGCGCCGAGGGGCGCGGGCAGCACCCACAGCCCGGACGGCGCCCGGCGCGGCGAGCCACGGCCGGCCAGGTCTGACCTCCCTTTCCTTGCCCCCTTCCCTCCCTTCGCGAGCGGGCAGCGCCCCGGCCGGCCCCGGCCCTTCCCGGCGGGGGTCGGTCCCGGCGGCGGGGCGCGGCGGGACAGCCGGCGCGGTGCCCCCGGTGACACCGGCGGGCGGCGGGTGGCGGAGGGTGATGCTGGGTCACATCCCCGCGGGGTGTCGGGTCACGGCAGGACTCCGGGCTGTCCCCAGGCGGTGTCCCCGCGGCTGGGGACTGGCGTGCCTGAGGTCCCGTAAGGTCCAGGCTCCTCTTGTCCCGTTGGCGGTGCCCATGCCACATCCCTACCCTCCTCCCGAATATAGAAGAGCGAGGAGAACACAACTCCCAAACAAACATGCAAAACTGCGATACTTTTGAGATACCTACACGGCTAGCTTTCAGAATTTCAAGAAATTAAATTGGGATGTAGTGTGGTGTCACACTGCGACTTAAAACTTGCTGCCATCAGGAAAAGGACATTAAATGATCTTGTGTGCTTTAATCTTGTTTGCTGCACGCATTTGACACTGGGCAGCCGAGCAGGCAGCAATGAGCTGGGAGGAGGCAGCCTGGCCCCTGAAATCGGGGTTTGTGGGGGTCTGTGCACGGGGCTGGAGCGGGCAAGCACCCACTGACTGCGTCACTTCAAGGGAACAACCTCATCAATACCTTGGAAGCTGCAGAAAAAGCATTCCTACATCAGATTTTGAAGGAAGTTTTAAATAGTGCAGGCAACAGTTTGTTTGAGCATTGGATTATGCAAAATGAGTCAAATGGAAAATAAAGTGACCAGTGTTTGGAGGTGAGTAAGGGCCTTGGCCAGCAACAAACCTGAGAATGACTTCCTTGATTCCTACACAGGTCCACTTTGTGTCTCATCATTTCCCTTCTCCAGTCCAATCTTTATGGCACCAAAAATATTTATAAGTGCTGAGTTTGGGTGAAAAGATGGAAGAAATGGACTTGAAATTCAAGAGGTATGGTCCAAATGCATTTAGGCCAGTAAATATTTCAGGATGGTGAAGGGAATCCACTATGTACTGCACAAACCCATGCCTGTTGAAAGAAAAGAACTTTCCAAACTTTCTCCAGCAGAGAAAGGACATCCAGAACATACGGACAGAATATGAAGCATTTAGTTAAACACTGCATTTTGTTAAAAACAGAGGAAAACACTGACAATGTGATAAGGAATATGTAATTTTTTTAAACACGCTTCAAAAAGGTAGAACATTGTTCCCTCCCCCCTGAAATGTATTTTGATAATTTTTCAAGCAGACAGCAAAGAAAAGGAAATTATATCAATCCCTTTGGGAAGAATGTGACATTCTGACTTCTTGAAGCCTAGAAAGAGGTTTATAAACTTAAAAAATGAACAAGACAAATTTAATCTTTCCAGACTTGTCAAACTTGTCTCAATTAATTGTTGATGACATAATTAGAACTTAAGGCTTTAATGTGTGCTTTTTTAGTTTACTTTTCAAAAGATTTAACTTTTTAAGGCTCAGGAGAAGCGGAGGGCTTTGCGGTGGGAACGGGAGCAGGAAGAAGGGGCGGGCTTTGTGTAGGTTTGAGTGCTGATTCAGAGTACTCTATTAAGCCAAGAGAAGATGAACTCATTTTTATCCTCCGTTGGGGAATCAGACAAGAAACAGGAAGTCATTGATTCTAAGTAAGATCATTCACTCTGCAAGTGTAAACAGTGCGTTATGTGCCTGTAAATATTTCCAGAACCCACTGGCTTGTTGGAAAATACAAAATAAATTATGACAATCTCTAGCAAAGAACCCACAATAAAAAGTTATTTTCAATCTTTTTATCCATAATGTTTATGCAGTGGAATATTAATGAGTTTGGACATTGGGAAACTACTTGGCTGGACACACTGTTCACTGACAGAAATCCATCTACTCAAATGTTTTGTCTGTTGAAAGACAAACATTTTTAACTCCACCCTGTAATATTGCACCCTATCAAAAAGCAAAAGTTCTTTCATTACTTGACCCGTTTGTGTTTTCACGGCCACAAACACTGAAATATCCCACTGTTAACCAGATGTTGGCCTCGTCCATTTCTGTTTTATGTAGCTGCAATTAGTTAAAAAGGAAAATCCTAAAATATCCTAAATAGTCTAATAACATGTTGCCACTCTTCATTACTTAGGAGACCTGAATTCAGATAAATCTGCAGCTGAAAATACTTCTCCCCTCCAAAATAGGAGAAGCTGCTGCTTGGCAGTGCCACGTTCCTCCCTTGAACAGGGGGATTCTGGACAAGCAGAGAGGATCATGGATTAGGGAAAGGACAACAGTGAGCAGCTTGCTTCCCTGACAGTCCAGGGAATTTTCTGCTAAGCTGAAAAGGAGAATGGCAAAAAACACCAGAGGTGTCTCGGTCACCAAGGAGGACTGCAGTTGAAATGCTTGTCTTTAGAATGTGGGTGTTGTCGGATCAGCTTAGGAAACTATTTTAATAATGTACTTACATCCTAGTGATTCCCTGGGGATTCCTGGGTGGGAGATTCCTGAAAAAGGATAGTTTAACCTCTGGTTTAGCAGTTTGAATCCCAGCCTGCAGGACCAAAGGAAGAAAGAGCAAAAAATGGAGCAGTTACCCTCAGACAAGTGATTGTGGCAAAATGTTACAAACCACAGTTTTTCTTTCCTAGTTTTCCTTCTAAATTAAGGTATGGAATGAAAGAAACAAGGAGTCGAGGTTATGAGAAAGGAAAGAAAGTTTTGAGCCAGGGTTTTTCACCTGTTTAGTTAAAATGAATTTGAGAGTCACATGAGACATGGGAATTTAGAAGAGAAATAGAAAATATCACTGTAGCAAAGAAAAGTGAAGGACTTCGATCTGTCTTGTGGTGCTTTTCCTTTTTTCTTCCTGTTGTCAAAAACAATGGAGAAGATAAATTCATAGGTGTTGGGTCTCCAGCTGAGGTGTTTCAGGTGGGGCTGCCTCTTCCAATGCAGAGAGGAAGGGAAGTGCTTGAAGCTGGGCTTCTGCAGGCCTGGGACAGTCATGGGAGGGGGTTTCTGTGGAGTCACTTACTCATCCATGCTGTGTCAGGACTGGCAGTGTGGAGATCTGTATTAGCCTTAATCTTCCTGTATCAGCCTCCTTCATCACACTGAAAACAGTGGCTACTTGCCTCTCCTCATCCATGTCCCACTGCTCAGGTGACAAACATGCAGTATAACATTATGACTTGTAGTTCTTTCTTTGTTCTGATATTCCAGTGGCCTTCCACTGAATGTGGGTTTTTTTACATGTTTATTATTTTTGAGATAAATTGGATACTTAGGAGCTATTCAGGCTTTATTTTCAAAGCCAAACCTAAGTGTCCAGAACCCTGAAAAGGCCAGGCCTTTACTTAGCAAGGGAATTTTGGACTGAATGGTTACATTCAGCCATCCACTTACTTTATTAAACTGTCTACAAATACTTGGAATACAACAGAGCCCAGTCCTTCTGCTTACACACAGATGATTTTCTTGGCTTCTCAGACTCAGACCATGATGAGCCAGCTCTCATCCTGAATAATTTTTCCAGAAATGCTTGTCCAGAAGGGCACTGAGGCTAATTTCCAGAAGGCATGAGCAGTTAAATGTGGATAAAGCACAAAGTTGAGACTGAAACATGCCTCAACCAGGATGTCCTGAGACCTGAAACAGCTAATACAAAAAGATTGGTTTTCATGTGGGGGGGTCCATTAGAGACCATTTGCTCACCCACCTTCACATTTGGAATCAGAAACTTCCATCTTGTTAAGGATATTGAATTTTAAAGGCAATTTGATTAAGCAGAATTTTAAAGGACTTTTAAAAGAGTGGTCTGCTAAACATTTAACTTGCATAAAACCAAATGTGCTACTAACTCACAGGCAGTTACATCTATATAACATTTGCTAAGCAAAAGCTCAGTTCCCTGAGTAAGAAAGGATAAATGCAGTAACTGAAGATTAAAATGTGAGATGTATCTCTGCTTATCAAGGAAAAATAACTGCAGCCATAGGATAATTGAAGAAATTAAAATACAATAAATCTAAATATTATCAACATAGATTTCAGAACTTGATAGTTATGAAAAGGGCCTCAGAAAACTGTACCATAAAATATGGTACAGTTTTACCATATTTTATGAAACTGTACTTGTGTAAAATTTGGGGGCATTCTTTAGATTTATATAAAATAGGTTCGTATGCATATTAAAATAAAGTCAGACATTAAATGCAGACTGAATTTGACATGGGGATTTTTTCCCTTTCTTTTTCCAGCATAAATATGGCTGAACTTTCAGAGACAGAAGGTACTGTAAACTGGAAGGAAAGATGTTTAACTTTGGAGTCACAGTTAATGAAATTTCGTCTCCAGGCAAGCAAGATCAGAGAACTGTTAGCAGAAAAGGTAGGTCTCATGGGATGAATTTTAATGATGTATAAATTATTTTATTTTATTATGGGGGTCGATCACAAGTCATGGTTTGGGATTACAAGTACTGAGTTTTTTTTCAGAAGGGCAAAAATAGCTTTTTACAACAAAATATATGGAAACTATGCATGTTTAATGCTGTGAAAGAATTTTACACATCAGAATTGCCAGCAAGAAATGTTCATTTTCAAGTAAGAGCACACTGGCAACTCTCCTGCAGAAAAAATATGTATCCAGTAATCACTTCTACAACACTGAATAATATTTAACACATTTATTAAGTATTTGAGATGTGATTTAAGACACAGAAATCATCACAGAGAAAATCCAGAAGTATTAAGTTCCCCAGTATTCTTTAATGTATCATATAATTTACCAGACTTCATTTTCTTATAAGAAGAAATCTCCAACATGGCTTATCATCTGAGTCTCTGGTTCCAGAAAGTTGAAAAGTATTGCATCATTTAATTTGAAAAATATTGTTTAAATATTTACTTTATTTTTCAGTGGAGAAACATTTCACTTGGCATATTCAAATATGTGTATCCCAACAGTCAGTTCTCATTGAGCCCATATCTGAAATATAAAATCCCCACCATTTTATTTACCTGATATTATTTTGACAGAACAAGGCAATTAAAAGAGTACAAGAGACAAAGGATCTTAGAGATTTATTGTAACTATGTCATCATTAAGACTCACTTCAGTGAATTTCTAATTAAAATGTTTTATTTTAGTAACTCTTGTATGAGCTAAATTTTCCATCTATTGCTCCCCCTAAAGAAAAATAATATTAAGATAACTTGATAGCATGCAAGTGAAAATACTTTTATTTTTCACATGTAAGTTAATTGTTCTTCTTTGTGGATTTATCCATTCTCCCTTTGAAACCATAAATACATTTGATCTCCACATTTAGTCCTCTGGGAATCATTCCCACTTTACTATGTTTTGGTGGGGGCAAGAACTAAATAGTATTAAAGCAGGAAGAAACAGATATTTTTGTATTTACCAAGAACTCTGGATGATGTACAAAGTTCCAGATGTGTTCCAGTCCTTTCCTAATAATGCTTAACATTGTTTTCCTTGACAGCTAAATTAAAATTGACAATTGAGAATGTTTCCGTGGAGATACCTATCTTAATTCCAGGATCTTACTCAAAGTCCTTTATATCCCTATGTGTCATCTATTGTTTTATTGACTGTCCACTAAATCTTGCTTGTCAGAAAGCTTCTCTTATCCTGAATAACAAAACACCACCAAACACTTTGCCACTTCACTGCTCAGTGTCTGTTACCAAATGTCTCCCTTGAACATCAATGAGCCCTCAAGAGATCTCTGCAGATCTCCCCTGATAGCTGCTGGTCACTGCAGCAAGTAACCAATAATGTGCTATTTTTATTCAGCCCTTTTTGTAATTCATGAGGGACATTCCCTCCTAACCAATGGGTTTTTATTTCCTTGAAACACTTTGCAAAATTCAAATAGTTCTAATAACCAGACCCTCCCTATCTTCAGCCTTGGTGATCCCCTCAAACTTCATTAGCTTTGTAAGCAAACACCTCTCTTTTTAAGGGCCACTTTAACTTTTTCTTTACCTACAATACTTATCCACATGCACCCTAATTTTGCTGTTAAATTTTCTACTACTTTATTTACTACAGACATCAGCCTTACAGATCAAGAGTTGGTTCAACTATGTCATACAGTGCTTAATTGAATAAAATTTGGCAATTTATTACTATTAATTTCATCTATTCATGGCCTTATTTGTTCTATGAAGGCACTCGACCTCAATTTGAGATGGAAAAAAATGGAATAAAGAAATATAGTATTTTCTGCATTAGACTTATTTTCATTAAGTAGGCATGAAAATTTACAGCAGTATAAAACAACTTCTAATAAAAAACTTTTTTCATAATACCAAATTCCACTGAAATTGTATACTTACAGTTAGTACTTCAAATAGTTCTGCTTTGGCATAACTAAAAATATTGCTGTTAGAACACAGTGTGGTTGAAAACTCTTAATTTTCTCCTAATCCTGCAACTTTTCTGTATGGCAAACTCTTATTGAAGAGGTATTGCAGAATATTAGGTTTGGGAAGAATAACGAACCATGCAAATGCCATCCTTTGAAATTTCATTTAAGAATTTAAAAACAAAAGAAGTTAAAAAAGGAAAACTACCCGTGCCTTTCATTGTAGTTAGCAAAGCTCAGAGATGAGCAAGTTATTATCATCAGTCTTGGGAGAGAATATCCATCCAAGAGTACCAGCCCTGCTGCTGTAACACTCAGCAGATCATGGGATGCTCACACAGTCGCAGCTGTTAGATCAGGAGTATCTGTTCTGTCTCTTTACCCCACCTGGATCACTGCATTTTGGGGTGGAAAGTGACTAAACACTGGACATGACATTTCTGACAACCTTCTAGCAGCCATTACTACCAAGTTTTATGCAGCTGCTGCTGATTGTAGTTTTGGTAACCAAAAAGTTAAGATTCATGAACAGTACTTCACAAAATTATATAAGTTTTAAGAAAGATTTTAGAAATTCGAATGCTTGATATTTGACTTTTCACTTTTTTCATTTACAGTTTGCATTTACAGGCTCTTAACTGCTAGAAATATCCTCTTAAATTAATAGCAATATATGCATAACCATATAATTTCAAATATCAACACAAAAAACCCAAACAAACAAAACAAGATGGATAAAACCACAACTCTTCAGCACTGTGCTCAAAATAAAGTATTCAAAGTCAAATTCAGCTCTCATCTGTGAGAAATATGACTCTCAAATAGATAAAAAACTTCAGAATTTATGTTACTGCCCTCTTGTTTTAGTTTGCCTTACCTTTCTCAGAAATTTTAGAAAAAGCAAAGTGATTACAGGAGTTACATGAGAGAAACATTTTCTGTTGAAGACCACAGGTCCAACAAGTATTCAGTTGGGCAAATTCGACATAATACTCTCCAGAGCAGAGCATTAGCAGACTTCATGAAAAATTATCTTTCTCCTTATAGTGCCACTTTGACTTTTAATATGAATCTTTCACTCATAAACTGGAATTCAGCTGGGACATGTATCAAAGTCTGGTCAGAGCATAATAAGATTTTATCATATTCATCTGCAAATTTAGAAATTTGGCACAACTCAAAAGCAACCATTTTCAAAATGGGCAATAAAATCTTTGCATGTATTTCTGAGTTGATTTCATTTGCCAATAACTCAGTGGTTATTTTTTCACGTTTTAATTTTTGCAATTATACTGACAGCTCTCAGTATTGATTAAAGGAAAGATAAACTCCCACTAGTTTGAAATTGAACTGTGTGGGATTGTTACTCAAAAATATATTTGGGAAATAGGAAAGGGAGTAATGAAGACCCGATTTGCCAGGTGTTGACAGTCATGCTGATACTAATGACAAAATAATAATGCAGCTGATATCAGGCTTTATAGGTACTTTCTGGACTTGTTACTTGTTATAGAATGAAACACATTGGCAAATGTGTCAGAAATAATTCTCACCCTTACTTTGATTAGCACAGGCCTTTATTTGTGGTTTTGTTTACAATCATCTCTACTCTATGAAATGTGTACTGAAACATTGAACAATAGCAGCAGACAGTGTTCCACTTCAAAGCAGCAACAAAATCACAGCACTGTGGTGTGACAGACGTAAAACCCTGTGGGTATTATACAATGTAATTGTTGTAGAAAACAGAATGATACTGTGACAAAAACAGGAAGATAAGAGAAATGGATTGGTGGTAATTCTCCAGCCTTGCTCCTCTGCCTGTGTTTGAGAGGTATCTCTGCAAGACAGTATCAGGGAAAGGAGTTTACATCCTATCACCCCATGTGTATGATTTGCCAGAAACTGCCATTGGGTTCTTCCTCCTGTACTTGTTGTATAATTTAGTCTAGAATCAGATTTAAATAAGGGATGCCTTGAATCTAGCCATTTCCAATAGTTGTGAGCTGTGTGAGCCCATAAATGTATTCAGGCTGGATTAACTGAAATACTTTTCTTTTACACGAGAAATCAAATATCTTTGCAAAGTTATTTTATTTAAATGGCACCCCTGCAAATAAATGAAGAATTAACATGAGAAGTCTATTATTCTAACAGAAGTGTTGTGATTCAGAAAAACAAACTATTGACTGTGTTCTGTAAATTTAGGAAGTAGTCATCCTTGAAACTCAGCTGAGGAGTTTGAGAAATTTGCATTGTAAATGTGTTGCAGCAGTACAGCTACCAGAGCTTTAATTTTTTTACTGAACTTGAGGAGAAGAGAGAGAAGCAAGGGAATATACAGCATTTTCAGAAAACTTAATCCATTCTCTGTTGTTTGTTTTTAATATTTTTTCATTTTGCCAAGTAAAGTCTATATTTATAAATCTAACATGCAAAGAAAGAAACCTTGTTGAAGTTTGAAGCAGAAGCTGCTGCTGTAAGTGGGAGAGGTCTTTACAGGAATTTAAGGAATGATGTTAGAAAGTATCCTAGTAAGCCAAATTTAGGATGGCTGCGAAACTGAGCTTTAAGCAGAAACCTGTATTTTAATGCAGCTCGAGTCTTACGTATGTGGAGAGTTTACAAAAAAACCCTTTGTTAAGTAAAAAATTACATGTTTCTACTGCAAGTTTAGCTTCCAGATGGCATTTCAAGTCACAGGAAAAGTTGGTGACCTTCATTCTTTTCCCAGTAAGTGCATTTTTCACCTACAATATGCATGCAACATAAGGTATAAAGTTGATGTTCTTCCTACCACTAAAAATCATTTTAGTAGGGGAACTACATAGCTGTGTTAAATTCCCACTTGGGCAGCCTCCACTGAATTTCATCAGACCCCATAAGGACTGAATACGGCACCAACCCAACTGCTGTGTTATGGGCTGTCCAGTAATACTCAAGTTTCCTATGAATGGCTCCAAGTTTGTTTCCTGCAGTGTTGAGGGTCATTATG